GGACTTAAGGCCTCTGTGCTATGCATTCTGTCCAGGAAAACCTCAATGTAAAGAACGTCTCTCAGTCACTGTGTACAGTAAGTGTGTCTCTTCTGATGGAGCTACTGCAGCTGTCAGCTCTCATACACCTGGGAAATATTCAACCTGAGCATCACCTTAAAACATCAGTAAAACCCAGCAGAATATTTCACTGTAAGGCATGGATGTCTCTGTGTGTCTCTGCTCCTGTAATCATGGTCGCCAGCGGGGGGACCAGGTCAGTTGTCCCTGGGCCCTGGATCAACTTTTTAAAAAATTGCTGGAATAATTTGTCAAAAATACACATTCATGAAAACTTTATATAGTATTTATGAATTACATAATTTCAGTTTGCAGTCAATTCAATTTGCCACCCTTTTCATGTTCTGAACCAGTTATGGGCAATTTTTAAGGGATTTTTAAGTAAAAATGGAGCTTTGAAGTAAACAAACAATGACTTCTGTTATTTTTTGATAATTATCAATAACATTTGACATGAAAAAAATTGATAAAATATTTTACCATATCGCCCAGCTCTAGCCTGATAGCAAAATTGCTTTTCGTACAGTTGTTTTTCTGTCTTATTAGATGTTGCAGCGTTAATAAAATAAGGGTGAAACTCTCACCTTGGGTAGAATTAGAAAGCGATCTTTTCCGAGAATTTCCCACATCTCAGTCCATAGTACATGACCAGCCAGAAAATACTCGCATCTAAATTTTTACAACCTTTAACCTGCTCAGCTGCGAATGGAGACGTGGTGTGAACTAGATAGTTGATGATGTCATAATACGTCAGGGAAGTCACTTATGATGCAAGGCTGCAGAGGTATGAAAAGATGACTCAGTAAGGATCGCGCATACCAGCCTTGTGGAGTTTCTGTTGATATGTGGTTTTGCTTGAGATTTGTAAGTTATCTAAATGATTGTGTAAATGAAGATCACCATCAACTGCAGGTGTGTACTGTAATTCGCCATTTATTTTGACCGACAAAACAGCGGGGTGGGGCCTTGAAGATCATCTTGTCCCTGGACACGAGCAAGACACATGGCAGGCCTGAATATAACGCGCTGCTGTCTCATGTGTGAGTTATTTTTGAGAAACAATGCTTATCATTTTCCCTCACAGAACCCCCAGACAGTGTTTCTTTTAGTTCTATGAACTCT